ACACCAAAATAAAATGTATACCTCTTCTACCAAAACTAATAAGGTATATACACTATGGTATGGAAAAAGAGTGGAAAGCTGATGCTGTGCTGTGCTACCCAATGCAGGCACATGTAAGTTAAGCTGTCCACGTATAAAAGCTAATCTATATTTTTAAATACACATTTTACTCTCGCTTCTTAGCATAAAAAAGAAAAAGGAGTAGGGAGGCAAAAAAGAATTTACCATGTATTGTGGGCCAGTTACAAGCCAAACATGGATCCTGCAAATGGGCGCTGAAGAGCTGGCTTAGCGGTTAAGAGCACATACTGCTCTTCCAAAGGAGCCGAGTTCAGTTCCCAGTACCCATGTCAGGAGGCTCACAAGTGCCTGTATTGCCCGCTCCATCTGACACCTCTGGCCTCCATAGGCATATGCACTATACATGTAACTCCCCCCCCACACACACATTATAAAAAAAGAAATCTTTTTTTAACGGACATTGCAAACAACCTAAGAGTCCTTATCAATCATCATTTCTCTGGAGTTGTTTAACTATCCATTTCAATATTCATTTGTCCTATTGCTAGGTTTTACCTGATTCATCTGAGATACAATAAAACCACATAAAAATAAACAGCCAAAGATTACTTGATAAGCCAGAATGCTGGCATACAAGAAAAAAACAAACCACAAAGTAAACAAAAAATGTGATGACTGACAGACTCTGCTCCCATTTGCTAAATCATTACATTATCCATGTGTGCTCTGACTGAAATATTCCGTGCAGCCACTAGTTCCTTTGTCTAAAGACCCCAAGTGCTGCCACTAGGCTGCTCTCCAGAAAGAAGCACACCACCATTTTGATCACCTTTGGCTCCTTTTTTATTCAGGAAGCATACACTAACTCTTTTATATTTATACATTTTTACATTCCAGAAATAAGCGAAAATAGCAGTTTTAATTATGTTACAAAGTTGGCTTTGGGGCGTAGTAAGCTTTTTGAGAGAGGGACCAGCCAACTGACCTTTTCATCAAAGCACCAATGTATCTTCAGTCTTTTACCAGGCTCTACCACAGCTGTGGTTGCCTTGGATGTGGTGCACAGACCGTGTGAAAGCTACAATGGAGAGTTGCTCTGAGTCTCTCTGCAAGGCACCAAGAACAAACAGTTCAAGCTTCCTTTCTTCTCACTGAATCAAGGCTTTTGGGAAACTTTTTGACATCTCTCTCAAGTAGTGCTCTCTCAGCATGAAGACTAGAATGTGTTAAAAGTCATCTATCACAAGATACAGTAAATCACTTCCAATATCCTGGAAATCACAGGGCAGAAGTTATAAATAAACACACACTAAAATTACTTTTAAGAAAGTTTTACATCATTTAGTAGTTGGTAAGGACATTTACATGTACAGCACAATTTATTGTTAAATGTTCTATAACTGGCTTCACACAAAGATGAAAATTGGTAATACAAAATGACCTGACATTTTAATTAAATCTGGAAGTAGCTGCAGTTGAATTAGAGTCACCATTGACTTTACATATTGTTGCAGAGTGCGGTGCTATGCCCTTTATAATGTGAATTGTTTTCCTCAGAGTGAAATTGCACTTCGATGGGTGATTTTGCTTGTGCAAACTACTAGAATCTGAGGGACAGAACAATATGAAAGACACAAACAGTAACTGCACAAACAATATCATCTGCTGGGTTAAGCTAATACAAGTGGACAGAGTTCTCTCCAGGTCCCAATACCTAATAAAGCACTATATGAAACGAACAAGGTGAAACATTTTAAGAATGAATACTCGTCAACCAGAATATGTGGCTTTTTTTTTATTTGTAGACCTGCCTCATGTGACCTTTACAAGATAACTTAGTAAAATCTTAATTTGCTTGGGGCATGACAAGCTCATAATGTCCCACTTGGCCTTCCTGTTTGAGTTGATCTAGTAGGTCTTCCTTCCGCCGTTTTCTACCTACCACCAGGTACCTATCGTGGCCTACCCCATGAGACTTACTCTTCAGGCCATACTTCTGAGCAATCTGATGGATTTGCTTCCGTTCGTCATTGGTCAGCTCTGTGGAGAAGGTCAAATCTGAGTGGCTCTCAGAGCGGGCATAGTTTCTGATGATCTGTTCTATATCTCTCTTAGCAATTTTATTGACCCTCTCTACATCTAGTCCAAGCCCTTCTCGCTTATGCTGCTCTTTGACTGAGATAGGCTCCCGTATGCCCTCACCAGATTTACCTAAACCACCACCCGTCCAACCCATCTTTCTCAGCAGTTGGTTTCCTATGTTATCTTCTTTGATTTGCTGTTTGTAAGCTTCTTCTGCTGAGCGGCCCTGAATTTCATTTCTGGAAATCACATCTTCAACAGTCCCTTTCTTCAAGTTGTTAATGACAGTTGGTTGGGTCTTTTTGAGGGTTTTTACAGCTTCTCCAGCAGCTTCATATTTGACACTTTTCTTCACCCCAACTGCTTCTGCAATGACTTCACTTTCTAGAATCACTTTGCATTTCCAGCGGAGACCTGTCATCCTTTCATAGACATATTCAACTGTCATTCGGTTAAACTGAGCCGTATCATTCAATGTGCACACAGGATTGGAAGAATTCTCATAAACTACAACATCTTTTATATCTTTCTTCTTTCCAGATCCTCTGGGTGAAGAGCCTGAGTGGCACTGGGAACTTTTGACAGATGGATAAGTGGGTTGTGTTTTTTGAAGAACCTTCAAAGCCTCATCAGCAGCTGCATGTTTACTTGTTTTCTTGGTTCCAAAACCTTCAGCTAAGCAGTGATCTTGTAGGAACACTCGACACCGCCATGTGCGATTTGGCATCATCTCATATTTGTACTCAATTGACATTTTGTTGAACGAGGCAGAATTGTTAAGGATGCCAATTGCATCGTTTGCATTTTCTGTAATGACAAAATTGGTCCAGTGTTTGGCAGAACTATTAAAAATAGGCTGCCCCGAAGCATCCTTTCCCAGTACTACCAGGTCTTCTGGTGCTTTCAGAGCTGGGGGAAATTCATACGAAAGCATGCCAATCTGACATACAACAAGGTCCTCTCCAATTACGTGCTTGAATTTCCGCCGGACAACTCTAACCTCAATCCGCTTCTGTAAGAGTTTTACAGCTAGCTCAGTAGCTCGATCCCTGGACCCATTCTTGCTCCCTGCATAACCTGTAGTTAGATAGATATTTTGGCATCTAACTTCACAAGCGTAACCATCTGTGAGAAGTTTTTTATTTTTGGGGATGTCAGCAGGAGGAATTTCTTTTAAAGGAGCATATATATACTCAGGATTTGTCTTACATGCCTGAATACAGCGAGTTAGCATATAGGTATAATTAATTTTATCAGATCCAGAAGTCATCTCTGGATTAGAAAGGTTCTTCCAGATAGTTGCTGTTAACTTTTCAATAAAATACTGTTTTTCAGCAACCACTGACTCAGGAAACATCTGTGAAGGAGAAGGCTCTGGAGGTGGCTGACAGTTTGCCTGCTGGGATGTGCTGCTTGGGGCAGGGTTCCCATTGTCAAAATACATGTTGGATTTTATAGGCTGCTCTTTTGTGAAAATAAATCCCGATGAATTACAATACCGAGAATTCCCATCTTGTATACTGAAAGAGTCTTGAGTATAATCTTGGTAGAAGTTTCTTGGCATGTTGACAAAATGTGTTCGTCCATTTACCTCTTTTGTTTGAGGGCCATAAGGATCTTCCTGTCTTTCAGCTTTTGAACTACTAGCTACAAAATGTACAGGCTCAAAACGAGGTCTCACATGGAATTTGGAACCAGCTTGCTTTTTAGGAGGATTTTGACCTATAGAATGAGTGAAATTTACAATTCATTAAAATGGGAATATTTCAAAAGAACCAAGCAGGAAAACAGCACCAACTGCATTATCTGAAAGCTGCACTGTTGGTACAAGGTCTGTCCTAGTCACTTGGGTGAAGGGATTCATATCACCATAAGACTCAACCATAAGGGGAGATGCTCCCTCTCCCCCCATGCATAAAGAAAGGCTCTTAATAGGAAAGAGTTCATCAAATCAAGTATGCAGGCTGCTGCCGTGCATGACTAGGAGATGAAATCACAAGTGAGCTAAAGCACGAGTGAAATGAACTCTTCACCTCTACGGAAAGGATGTGCTAGGACAAGCTCTTACCACCTGTGCTCCAGAGTTCCCAGAAGAACTCCAGATGACTCTAACGAAACAGAAATGCTAGAGGACCAGAGGCACTTACTAAACCTTTCTCTTTTGTGACAGAGGTGAGTGACTCTATGATAGTGATGTACACCGTTGTAACTATAGTATCAAAATAAACAGTTTTCAACCAAAACCTTAGTTCTGACTTTTCTTGCACAAAAGGCTGTTGCCTTGATTTCTAGAACAGGTAACAACTGGAACTAATGATTAATGGGGGACACCACATTTGAAGCCACAGAGATCTACTACTAAAGCTATGCCAGAAACTAGTGCTTCTTCCCTATAGCATTCCTCAGTAGAAAGCTGGTCCATCTGGACCTATCCAAGAATATCTAATTACTCAGATGCTCAGATGATCTCAGAATAAGACTCTTCTATTTAGAGGAAGGTTCCATGGCATAGACTTCAAGGATAGCATTATAGTGGGACTTTGTACTTCCAGTTCTTTTTAGAATACTCAAAAAATTGTATGTAAGTTAGAAATTACTTATCTGAGCCAGGAAGAAAGGCACACACCTTTAATCCCAGCACTTGGGAGGCAGAGGCAGGTGGATATCTGTGAACTCAAGGCCACCCTAGTCTACCAAGTAGGTTCCAGGACAGCCAAGGCTACACAGAGAGACTCTGTCTCAAAAACAAAATAAAAACAAAACAAAACACAAAAATCATTTATCTTTGCACAGAATCCAATGCTACCAGTGTTATCTGAAGCCACATGCCACACTCATATCATTTTAAGAAGCCACACTTCTTCAAATCCCACCTCCCAGAAACAAGCTATACTCACCATCGTAGGCTGAAAGGTAGCGTTTTTGGCCTTTGGAAGGTTTGGGCAGCATCAGATCATATGACGGCATCTCCCCAATATCAATACCTTCGGCCATCTGAAGAATTTTTTCCATCAAGCGTGGGCTGTATCTATAAATTAATATAATGTACATTAAAACAGGCATAGATATAATTCTTATAAATGCTTCTAAATGAGAGAGTATTTTATCATTGCTCCCACAGGATTTATTAGCAAGGTAATCAGCCCTAAAATATTTACCTATAGAATGAGTAGTTAAGTTAATCATTAGGCATCAAGAGCAAGGTTTTCTGCATAAAATATACATAGAGACTGCAGAGATGGTTTATCAGATAAGAGCACTGAATGCTCTTCCAGAGGACCCAGGTTTGACTCCCAGCACCCACATGGCTGTTTACAGCTGTCTATAATTCCTGTTCCAGAGTATACAACACTCACTTCTGGCCTCTGTGGGCAACAGGCATGCATGTTGTGCACAGACATATATGTAGGCAAAAAACAGTCATATACATAAAAATAAATATTTTTAAAAGACATACAGATATAATTTCTAACCAAAACCATTTTAACACGTGAACTGGAAATCTAGCTATACACTCATGATTTTTCTCTTTCATATATGTATTACATGTAAACAATTACATTTATATGTTTACAAAAATACTGAGTGTTAAGGACAGCTGGGTTGCTAACATCCAAATTATAGCTGCTATCATTTCTCATGAAAAGAAATCATGTTCCTCAGAGAAATGCATGCTTCCAAGTCTGGGGCAGGAATGTCTAAGAAGAGCCTGGGAGATCTTGGGCCTACAAACAAAGAGACAGTCAAAGGTCACAGGAGTTGTGCCAAATGGACTCAGAAGCCAATCAGAATAAACTCCTGGCAACACGAGCCAATTTGCGTATCAATAATTGGAGCAACAGCTAGTGTGAATTAAAATATATCAAATATGTTTAAAATCTATTAGTTCATAATACTTACAAAGCTATTATTGGTGAATGGAAGGAATCAACTCATTATTCTCTAGACAAGTAAATATTAAAGGGAGAAAGCAAGTACTTATCCTGTATTTTCCTGTTCAAATTTTATCTCAAAATCAAAGTGTTGCCAAAGAAAATCTCCTTTAAAGATTTAGTTTTAGTTGTGTGTATTCATGGGGGAAGTGTGCATACATGGGTGCAGGTGCCATGGGAGTCCAGAGGCATCAGATCTCTTAGAACTAGAATTATAGGTGTGAGCTGCCTGTTGTGCGTAATGGGAACCAAACTGCACTCCTCTTCAAAAATCAATAAGAACACCATCTCTCCAGCCCCAAGGAAATCATTTACAGAAGCATTACAGCTAGCTAAGGTAAAATGATAGCCCACTATCATCCTGCAAGGCACAAGAAGTCTACTGGTGAGGTATAGACAGGGAAGAACCTAGAAATGGACTCACGTAAATAATTCAAAACTGGTAGTTGACAAAGGGACAAATACAATCCCACAGAGGAAGTCTCTGCAACAACTGAGCACCTATATGTAAAAACCAGGCAGGTAAACCTAACCTTCACTTTACAAAACATAAAGTGGTAAACTATGAAACTTTGAAACTATGAAACAGTGTGGGCAGTGTGGGCTGGAGGGATGGCTCGGTAGTTAAGAGCACTTGTTCTTATAAAGGACCCAGGTTCAATACATAGCACCCACGTGGCTGTTAACAACCGTCCATAACTTCAGAACCAGTCCATAACTATTCAGAACTTCAGAACTTCCAGAACGCACATGATACAGTCATACATTCAAGCTACACATGCATACACATAAACTAAATAAATCTTTAAAAAGGAAAACAATGGTAAAATAGACCTAATCAGAATTAAATCTTATCCTCTTAAAAGGCTGCAAAAAAAAAAAAAAAAAAAAAAAAAAAAAAAAAAAAAAGACAAATTACAGACTGGGCGAAAATGTTTGTGTACCAGGTACTTGACAAGAACTTGTTAGCTCCAAACCCAAGAGCAACAAAATCAAACTTCCAAATGAACAAGGGGAGCTGGGGAGAGCTCAGTGGGTCAAAGAATACTTGTTGTATAAACTGGAGGCCCCAGATTCAGTTCCCAGCATGTATGGAAAAGCTGGGCATGGTCACGAAAGTCAGTGGGGCAGAGACAGGTGGATACCATAGCTGTTAGCCAGCCAACCTAGCTGAAATGGTGAGCTCTGGGTTCAGTGACAGACCCTGTCTCAAAAAAAAAAACAATAAAGAACAACTAAGGAAGACTCTTGACATCCTACTCTGGCTTCTATGGGTGCACTCATCTGTACACATGAATGTACATGTACACACACACACACACACACACACACACACACACACACACACACACACACACCCCAAGTACAGACACACTGTAAATGAACACACAGAAGGATGTTCAACACCATCAGCCACCAGGAAAATGCAACTGAAATACATCACTGACCTATCAAAATGGCCAAAATAAAATAGTGGTGACACCAAACGCTGGCAAAAATACAGAGAAGCTGGATCTCTCAGACATTGTTGGCGAGACTCTAAAATGACAGTTACTCTAGAAAATAATTTGGCAGTTTCTAATAAAACTAAACATTAATTGTCACATGACCCAGCAACTGTACTCTTGGGCATTTATCCCAAGGAAATGAAAAGTCATCGTTCATATAAACACTTGTATATCAATACTCAAACCGGCTCAGGCCTAACTATACATAATCAGGTGAATGGCTAAAACTCTGGTACAAAAACCACCAAAACACCAGGGAAGCCGGGCGGTGGTGGCGCACGCCTTTAATCCCAGCACTCGGGAGGCAGAGCCAGGAGGATCTCTGTGAGTTCGAGGCCAGTCTGGGCTACCAAGT